TTTCAAAAATTAACGGACTGCTTGTTGTAAGGAAAATTAAATTATGATGCACCTTCAAAAAGTTGAATACCTTCAGCGTGGCGGATGGAGGCAACCGCCTGTGAACGAAAAACAGTGAAAGTGATTCTGAACGGAAAAAAGGAAAATCAATACGAAACACTTCTGGAAAGCCTGACACCTGTGACGTGACGGGTTGCAGAGCACTGCCTGAGAACGAAAAACAGTGAGAATGGTTTTGAACGGAGAATCATGACGGTTGTTTCTGATATAGGGTGTGCTGTACCCTGGCTTTCAATCACCAGAGATGATGATCTCTGGAGGTCTGAGAAGAAAAAATTGCATGTTAACCGGATAATATATAAAGATGGTGTGAATTTGCAAATGACGATGGCCGTCTCCGAAGTTACTGGTGGCGATGTGCTCTTGAATGAGATCAGTGGTGACAGCGGTCTTAGGATTTATGGTGCTGTGAAAATGCTCCCAATTTCGGTGGTGACGGCTGCGTCTGAATCTCAGGAGTTGTTGCATCTAAATGTGCAAAGTGGTGACGGCTGTTCCAGATCAGGACAAACGACTAACTTCGTCTCTGATCATTATGAATGGTGACAATTGTCTCCGAATGTTGGGTGTGGCGACAGTTGTCCAGGACTGTAAATAGTGGCATGGTTTGTCTCTTACTATTGATAATTCTACACAAATACATGCCGTTTGAGTTTTGATTGGCCTCAACGTCAATAGGTTTTGGAAAAATTGAATCATTGTGTTTTCTCTCGTCTTGGCTTAATTTAGTGGCAGCTGACTGTAGCTCCTACTGGAGGAAACAGCATTCGAACCCCATGAGGTGGACGTCACCCTTCACCACGTAAGGGAACCAAGGATGTCGCCTAACTGTTGGCAGCATCCTATCTGGTGCAACGGGTTCACCTCACCCTATAAATTCTCAAACCTCTGGCCGTTGGCTAGATGTTTACGTTTAAGAGCATCTAGCCCATCACTATGTGGCGATTTAGGTGTTTATTATTTCCATTGGCTGTATATCGCGCAGCGATAATGCAGCGAAGAAATGCCCACGTTGACATTGCAAGTAGACGCTAGGTTTACGACTAAAGCCAGTTAAAATGGAGTCTTGTGTTGCCGTGTTGAAATCCATATGTCAAACAGCATAGCCAAGAATACAATCTGCTGGTTTAAAGGGAATGTTCCACCTTTAGTTGGGGTTTTGAACTGAAATAGCCATCTTGAGGACCTTTTGATGCAGTTTACAGCCATGCCCTTTTTAAGACCCAAAACCCTTTGGTTCATGAGTTACACGCCCGCAAAAGTGGAAAAAGGTTTGCTGGGAGGCTGGTTCAAAGTCACCTTGGCATGGATGTCGTCATAGAAACGTCATTGCGACTTACAGGCTGTTTTCTGCCTTTGGTCAAAACAGCATGGCCGCTAATACATTCGAAAAAACGATGACCCACCACGTATGGTACAATGCGCGGAAGATGATTGGCTGTTTGTAAGATTTCGCTGCTGAAAGCTTGTCGCGAACGTAACGTGATCTAACGAACGTAAGCACTGTCGGTTTGTGCGGCACTCGTCAACGGAGCACTTTTTGTTATTTCTAGGTCATGGGTGAATGTTACAAAAAATAACGCAAAAAAGAACTGCCTGGAAAAAAGGTACGGCACCGAAAAACGACGCTCTCTCACATGTTCTACAAAAAGAAAACGCGACGGCAGATGTCTTTTTTCTTCTTTTTCTGACGTATTTCTTACAGATAGCTCGGTTGGCGCCTTCTGCGCCAGAGCCAAGAACCTTGCACGGATTTATGGGTTGGCAAGGCGTTATAAAATTAGGGAAACATTACAGCAATCTTAGATATATGTTATTTACTAAATACTTACCACATATTGTACGACAAATTTAGATCTTGAACAAAAAATTTGTGTCTTACAAATAAAACCTTTTGAACTGCATTACGATGAACCACCGTTGGGACTTTGTTTTAAAGGGAGCTCACGATGAAATGCGGTGTTACAACCTAAAACCTGTGCGGAAATTGTGAACACCTGCAGTTTGATAGCCCCGCGAGCTGTGCAAATGAGGGATCACCCTTATTTGACAAAAGAGTGTTCATCAGGGGCTAGAAATGGGTGTGATCGCTGATGGTGCGTGCCAGTAGCTTGTATTGATCTTGATGTGAAGGGAAGTGTGCGTGCAAGGTTTGTACTTCTGAGAGAGAACATTGTTTTAGTATTCTTTAAGTCTACTGGCTGTCAACAAAATGTGATGTATCGACACCTGCCTCTATCTTCATGTTTGTGTTTTAACATGACAAGGTAGTGATGGCGGCAAACTAAAAGAAACATTAGCACCTATGTTGCAGTGGTGTACAAAGGCAATTTGCCACTTTATTATGATCTTGCCAACGTTTTGAACCTATTGAGGTATTACAGCATGTAATTAATCCATTGCATGCAAATATATTGGCACTTAATTTTAGCGGTAGGCGCTGGTCTGTGCGGCTCATTAATGCACATGCTTGGTAAAAGCTCACACGATAAGGCTTTGCAAAATTGTGTTTCCCTTAAGAACTCTGAAAATATAGTGCTGCATTATTTTGGGTGCAAGTACTATTGTCTTAACCAATATTGTATGCAGGCAAGCATTGCTAATGAATCATATGAATCATCAATGTCATAGTCACTGCAACTCCTGTGAGATGCCGAGTGCTGGGAAAGGTGGAAAGTATTGCTGTTAGTTTCGTGGATAGCACGTAATAATGCTTTTACCATAAGCCTTGTAGCCACTTGTTTGTTGTGTGCTTTGTTGAAATTGATTTGCATATTGTATCATATGTTTTTTGGTCAGTCATATGTCAGATGCGGAGTTAATACAAGGATGCATGCTTGGCCCACCTTTTCACGATGGAATTTGTTATGAAAACAGCGGGAATTGCATGGCAAAGACCATGTCGTTGTTCATTATACCATGCCAGAGTACAGCATTGAGGCAGTGCCGCAATGACGCTGTTGACCCATGCCATTACACGGTGGTTACCACCACCTTGGTTGACTACGCTATGTCAAGTCTATGAGATAACAGCTTATAATTTATGGGTGACTGGCAACAACTGAATTAACAACGCCAGAGGACTATCACCAGCGAGAATGCCGTTGCGCCACAATGGTTGCATCAGGGTTAACTAGTAATTGCATAAATAATCCTAAGCAAGAACAAAGTTATTGATAGGTCAACCTTACCAACTTTACCATAGCAGTGCTTTGGCAATCAATTCATAGCAACGTTACAGATTTATTCGTTTTTGCATGGAACTGCATTTCCAGTTACAAATGATAAAGAAAGTAACAACTGTGCACATCACATGATATCAATGTCAGGATTACAGCACTGCAGGCAAGGATGGGTCGACAATACAGTATTGACATCATCAACAGTCCTTGGCAGGTTTCGGTAGGAGATTCATGACGCTATATGACAGCTTTCACAGGATATAGTGCTTTCATATTAACATCTGCCACAAAAGCTGGCGATCGCTACGTTGCGTATGTCAAACAGTTCACTTAATTTTTTCTTGCAACAGTACCAAGACCAAAAATCTACAAACAAACCACCCACTGATCCGCCACCCGACACAGCGCCCGCGACGAGAATGGCCGACTGGCGTCAGCTTTCGTGTGTTTCGAGGTACTCTTAGGGACTGGCTAGCAGATGCTGCCAGGTATTGCTGTCGTTACAAAACGATTCCATGACGCTATCAAACGATGACGTAATGGGGCGCATTTTTATAAACTTTGAAATTTCGCTACTTAGGCTCATTTTGGAACATTGCAATCCTACCAAAAGTTACAAGCAAGCTTCTCCCATCATGTCTGATGCTTTTCTTAATATCTTCAAATGTGAAATATTCCCTTAAATCTCGTTAAAATGGAAAGTCTCGCATTCGTACGGGGCTTTGAACTGAAATCGCCATTTTGAAGATCATTTGGTACAGCTCACAGCCCTGCCCTTTTTAAAACCTTACCCTCTAGCTTCTGAGCAAAACGCTCGTGAAGATGGGCAAACTTGTTAGTGCAGATCACTACAATGTCACCCGAATGTCACCCGTTGACAATTTCGCAAGGGTACTTTGGCGGCGCCTCGCCAACTTACAAATGCTTCATAAGACAATCAAACGATGACGTTCTGAGTATGTCATTTACTAACTAGAGAAATTGTGTTGCCTAGAACATTTTTTCCCACTAAAAATATACCAATAGCTATCAGCGAGCTGATTTCATCATATTTCATGCTTGCTTCAATATCTTCAAATGTTGAACAGTCTCTTTTATGTTTGAAAGGCCCCGTGCGGGAAAGACGTTTGTATGATGTGATTATATGTATTTATATATATATGCATATATAATATGGCCATTAGTTCAGAGGGTGTCTTAAAGTGTTCTTAACTGGAGCACAGCAGAATACCGAGACGAGTGTGCTTAAACATGCCTTTCAGCGGCATATTTCCATACATAGATGAATGCTCGTCACAGCCCACTTCAAGTTAGGATGGCCACAAAGCGTTCAAAGGCGCTGCCAGTCATTTCCTGATGGCTACCACTGAGTTTTACGAAGGTCTGTTTCTATTGGTGTCCTGGGTGAAAGGATCCAAATAAGTATTTGAGTTCAATTGTGGCTACAGCAGCTCAAATCCAGTCAGATTAAGCAGGAATATTTTGTTTCGAGAACACTGGGGCAGACTGGACAGCATAAGTCAATGTGGCATCACTAGGTGAGAACAGACATGACTGCGTCTCCATATTGACTTCAAATCAACCGTCCGACGGGCTGGTTTACCCTTCTCGGTTCGATCTTACCATCACATCACCGACCGGTGCGCGAAACGACGGCAAATCTGTGTAGTTGCGCAGCCAGCCGCCAGAGGCGCTGCGATCAGCACCGCTCCGCTGCCTCCGACGCCCGGCACGCATCAGTTTTGTCTCGACCGGACTGAGAGAGGGACGGCCACAAACTCGGCGCGACCAGCGGACCTACAGCGCTCTCCGCCGCGCTGGCCTGCGTCCATCCGCGGCGGCTGCGGCTGCGGCTCCGGCTGGGTGACGGCGATCCGGACTCTGCGCCCAATATCTTGTGCGATGGCGCTGGGCCAGCGTGCTCAGTAGCCCTGGTGTTCGCACCAGACCGCCGAACACACGCCGGCAAGATGTGGCGGTTTGTCGCGGTTTCAACCGTCGCGCTGCTGTGCTGGACCACCTGTTCAGGTAAGGACCGCATTCATGTCTAGTTTTGTGTCATGGGGAAGGGGGCGGGTGCGGCTGGTGGAAGGGGAAGTAGTACATCGTGCCACTGCCTTCGAAATGGTTGTACCAAACTGGACCAAACCAAACTTGGTTGGCTGGTGGCTCTAGGAATTGTTAAATTCGGGAATTTTTGGAATTCAGAAAACGCTGCTTAATGGCGTGCATTCTAACGCATGCGTTTATGCTCCCCTGCCCCATGCGAGTCTAAAAAGTCGTGGTTTGTTCCGGATAAGGGGTCGTTTCTCCGACTTGGCTCCGGTTATCAGATAGCCACGGATTGTGGTTCGGGTGATCCTATCAGGACTAACTGGCCGTGTCATTAGCTGGCTGATTAGCTGACCGTGTCTCCGGCATTGTAATTAGACGTCTTCATAGTTTCTGAACCCACCAAATTGATCACCACGGTTAGTGACGCTGAAGTCGGACACACAAACGGTGCAAAATACGATGGCAGTGTGTGTTGAAGGGGGAGGGGGGGTTAAGTGGTAGAGTGTTTGTCCGTGAGACTGAAAGCCTTATTCTCAATTCACCTTAAGTAGGAACCACCGTCCTGAAGCGTATCTAATAACCCAGTCGTAACACACGTTTTTATTGCTTTAGAAGCTTGTTTGAGGCGGTTATATTTTCTGCTTTATAGGCCGCCATACCATTGCAAGATTCTTTTATAGAACGAGCGTAAATCTCGGACAGTAGACTCCAAATCACTTCTTACAGCTGTCTGTGGAACGTTAAGCTCGTTTATGGCACAATGCTATGGAACTGAGCACGCCGCCAGAAAGTTGCACTTCGCCGCGTATCTATCATGAGACCGCGCGGAGACACTCAAGCGCCGGTGCTGGTGCTAAAGTTGGTGTTGGTGCTGGTGCTGGTGCCGATGCCAGCGTCGGTGTTGGTGCCGATACTAGTGATCGTGCCGCTGTCGGTGTCGGTGCCCGTGCTGGTGATGGTGCCGCTGTCGGTGCAGATATTTGTGGCAAAGCCATTGCCGGAGCCGGCTCTGGTACTGGTGCTGGAGCCGGCTTTGGTGCCGGTAGTGCTGGAGGCGGCTGTGGTGCCGGTGGTGCCGTAGTCGACTTCTCGTGCCGGTGCTGGGGTCGACTCCTGCTACCAATGTTGGAATCGACTCGGGTGCCTCTGCTGGTGCCGGTGCTGGTGCCAGCGCTGGTGCCGGTGCTGAAGCTGGCTCCGGTGCTGGCTGCGATGCTGATTGCCGGTGCTCCAGCTCCAGCTCGCGCAGTGCCGCGGCCGTTGGCCGACCGACAGCCCTGACACGAAACTCAGTCGCACCCTATCTCTCAACGCGAGCCGCCAGCGCCATGGCCAGAGGTGACCCGATCCTCTTGTCCTCGGGCCAGCCGCCGGGCGCCGGTCAGGCGGTTGAAGACAAGGTGACGGATATTGCACGTGTATTGCTCCATCAAGGACTCGTTGCATTCGCTATTGCCAAGGGTCAGGTCAATGCAGATATACCGAAGACGCTGGATGCACCGACTAATCGATATGCTCGCTGTCAAGGAGAAACTGTTCGGGCTTGGAGATCCGGTGCGTCAGTCGAATGTTCTTTGGATGTAAATGAGACGCATATCATTCCTCTTCTCTAGTCATTCATTACCTTTCCTGATCATTGCTTTCTCCCTCATGTCATACCGTTCTTCATAATTCGCTCAGTTCATGACGGTTAATTTCCGAAAAACCGCGTTGTGTATGTCGAGCCCTCGTGACAAGTCATTGAGTTCAGTGCGTGTTTGATTTGTGCTTTGCCGCTTGTCAAACCATGGCGTGCTATTGTACCGGACCATGACATTGTCACAAACATCTGCGTTGTGCATGTCGATGAGTACTAAAAAACGAAGCTCTTCCAAAAGTACACAGTTTATATGGAGTAGATGAGGACTCTCGACACCACCGACCCTCTCAGCTACCGTTTGCGAGATTCTGGACATCTACCTGCGTTCCCGACAGCACTATGCTGCCGCAGCAGGCCAGCTCCTAGGTTCCGCCGCCCTGCCGGCGGCCATGTGCGGACGCGATCCGGTTGACCGCCAGGGCGGGGTCCCAGGGGTCCGGTCCCAGGGGCGAGGTCCCAGAGGCCGGGCCCTGGGGGCCGGGTCGCCGGGGGCGGACTGAGGAGCGCTGGAGGTGAGCGCGGCTCGCCGTGCGGAGGACACGGAACGGTCGGCCGCCGCCCGCAGCGGCCGGCGCCGGCCGTTCTGGTTACCGGTCGCTGACCGACCCGTTCCGGTCACCGCCAGACCCGCACCGGTCTCGCTGCGGGTCCGGCCGTCCGGTCCAAGCCGGAGCGCGGCGTCGATGACGCGCCGCTGCGGTGTCAGGAGTGCTCCCGTGCAGGCGTCAGCAGTGCTCCCGTGCAGGCGTCAGCAGTGCTCCCGTGCAGGCGTCAGCAGTGCTCTGTGTAAATGTCAGAAGTGCTTTGTGGGTGGTAAGTACTGGTTACGTCATGCTTCTGGTATCGGTGATGTCCCTTCGCGAACACCACTGTTGTCCCCTGCCAATATCAGAGACGGTATGCCGTCACCCTACGTCATTAGAAGCGGTACGCTATCACCCTACATCACTAGAGACGGCTTTCGGTCCATGCACGCATCAAAAACAGCTTCTGGCAGGGGCACGTCGTCAGAGATGGCGTCCGACCAGCACACGGCATCCGTAACGGCGTGCGATCACCGCACGCCCTCGAAGGACGTGCGCGTCATCATGCGGCATCAGAGGCGCTGTCCGACCGCCGCGCGACGCCGCAGACCGCGCCCGGTCGCCACACGCTCAGGAAACGCGCCCGCGGCGCGCGGGCACGGCGCCCAGACAGCGACCCACTTGGAGTCGCCTCTGGCGAAACACGGCCGAGGCGGCGGCGGAAGCGGCGGCGGCTCGTGCCAGAGGAATGCTCGCACAACGGCGGCGCACGCGGCGCGCACGGAAGCGGCGCGCCGCTGGCCCTCAGACGGATGACCGGCTCGGGCGGGGGTGACGCTGATGTGCCGGAGGCGTTCCCCGGACGCCAGCGCCCCCCCCCCCTCCCCTCCCCGCGCCACTCGGCCTCCGGATCGGGCTGGGTGACGCTGATGTGCCGGAGGCGTTCCCCGGACGCCAGCCCCCCTCCCCCCGCGCTCCTCCCCCTCCGGTTCGGGCGGGGGCGACGCTGATGTGCCGGAGGCGTTCCCCGGACGCCAGCCCCTCCCCTCCCCCGCGCCCCTCACCCCTCGGCTCGGGCTGGGTGATGCTGATGTGCCGGAGGCGTTCCCCGGAAGCCAGCCGCCCCCCCCCCCCCCCTCCTCACGCTCCTCGCCCCTCGTCTACCCAGGGGGCGGGGGAGATGGCTGCCTGGAGGGCCTTGTGTGGGGATGGTCTTAAGTTGTGCATGAATTGTGGTATGTGCATATCCATTTGCACGTGCCGCATGGGCTGCTTGGGTTAGCGGCCAGCTATTTGTGCATTTGGGTAGGAAAATCAGAATTTCTGTGACTCGTCCCGAATAAAATATATCTGTTGGAAAAGGACACAGAGACCTGTATCTTGGTAACAAGACATCGTAAAAGCCAGCCATTGTTAGGTCGACAACATCTCCACTGCAAATAATCGCAGTCGTTCTTTTGTGCTAAAATGTTCCTGTCAGCCCTATTGTAGCGGGCAGCGAGGACTCATGAATATCGATTTGAATGGGAAGATATGTCCATTGTTTAGGCTATTTACAAAATATCGCAGGACATTTATCTGGTTCCGGAGCGTCCATTAGAATAGCTTGAATTACAGATAATTGTGAAAATTGCGCGCCGAACGTGGTGATGCCGCCATCATTTGAATCGCGTCCAGAACTGAGACGAGGGCTGAGCTGTCAGTGCGCCCCGCCCTGACCCGGTGACCCTGCCTGACCTCGGAAGGGTCGACGCGCTCGTCGCCAGTGGGTCTGACCTCGAGAGGGAGGGTCAATCTTCCTCCGTCTTGCCGGGTGTGACACAGTTTCAGAGCACCTGCGATGGGTGGCCAGGATCCATTCACCTTGATGACGGATCGGGGGACGTTGGCGAAACTTTTTCACGAGCGCAGCGGTCAGCGGGCCCGGCAGGGCGTTGACGGCTGGAGTTCGCAGATGGCCGCGGAGTTGCGCTGCCGAGACTCGCTATTCAGTCCCCACCCGACGGAAGATGGAGCCCGTTGACGGGTTGAGTAGATTGCCTGCTCCGCAGATGCCCGTGAAACGCTTGAAGAACCAGACTTTGTTGAAACAAACCAGTGTGGGACGTAACTCATGGCCTCGCAGACCGCCGGCAAGCTGCGCCCACCGAACCGTCTCAGTTTTGCGCATCACTCAGGCTAACTGACGGCGCCCGAGTCAGTGAAGCCGTCTGTTCGCCGGAGGCCACATCTCAGAAATATGAATTATCGCAAAGCAGCTGCAGCGATGTTGTAAGAGGGTCAAGATATCGAATGCTCCCACATGGGCAGCCAGATGTGAAGGAGCTGATACACGTTATTCGAGAGCCTGGTATATCAAGACGCCGGAGTGCTGATCATGTGGCGGCCGATCCGAACCAATCGGTGAAAGTGCTGGTACGCCGGGCACATCATTGATTGATCGGCGATTGTTTGGACGACAACCTTCCCTCGCGATGTCCCCAGAGACAGGCCAATTTGGCATATGTAGACTCAAACTAGCTGCCCAACTGTGACAGAACTGTCCCACTTCCGGACGTTTTATGCTCCTCCTCCATCAGTTTCCGCGCCCAGGACCTGGTGGGTGACGTTCTAGCACGTGTTGACCCCTTCTGTGGCTTTCTCGCATCCCGAGCGAGGCACAGCCAGTGGCCATGCGCCGGGTGTGAGCACGCTGGAGGCGAATAGCCATGCGCCGGATGGTCCGGGTCAGCCTCATGGATGACCCGAATCGACTGCAGGGTCCTCTCCTCCCTCTGCTCACACGCGTGCATTGCAAGGCTGGAGGCCCC